GAGAACATTCATACAGAAAAGTGCAATGAAAAAGCGATTGCTTTTTCGAAAGATAGCGTCCATTCATTGTGACATTCATTCTCGCATTTAAGCTGTGATTATAATGGACAGAGTGGCCCCCCAGGGCACCTGTGCTTTTTCCTCTTTCTCCTTTCAAAAGAACTCCCTCTTCCCTGTCCACACACGCCTTTTTCCAAAAGAGCTCTTTCGCAAAAAGGCTTCTTCCTTGTAGAAAGAGGATTACCAACACTGGAAAAACCTCTGTTCTTTCAATTTACTTTTGGACAAACGCAATTGCAGTGTGGACATAACTCAGGTTTTGTTGGAAAAACGGCCATTTTTCCGATAAGACTCTGTAGTGTAGACCTACCCTCCGTTAAGTGGTCCCAGACAGATCCTGAATCCCTGTCCCAGTCTTGAACCCTGTCCTGCACTCAGCCTCTCCAGCCCCAGACATGAGTTCCCTGCACTCAAACTCCTTCCTAGAACTTGCACCTTGACCCCCCTCCTGGACCCTAGTTACCTGCCCAGAGCCCCTCCCACAAGCTGAACCTTTTGGCCCAAGACCAGACCCTGCACCCCTACCTGAGCTTGGTGAAAGTGAATGAAGCTATGTCTAGACTACAGTGTTTTGTCAGAAAAACAGCCGTTTTTCTGACACAAGTTGAGTTACGTGCACATTGCAAGAGTGTTATTTCGACAGTAAACTGAAAGAACAGAGGGCTTTTAGTGCAATCGGTAATCCTTATTCTATAAGGAAGAAGCCTTTTTGCGAAGAGCTCTTGCACAGAAAGGTGTGTAGGGATGAGGCAGAAGGAGTTTTGTTGGGGGGGGCGGGGAGGAAAAAACACAAGTGCCCTAGTGGCCATGCTGTCCATAGCAATCGCTACTTACATGTGAGATAGCGTCCAGGCAGTCTTTTGAAAAAGTGCACCACTTTTTCAATGTGCTTTTTCAGTGTGGACGCTCTCTCGTGCAAGAAGATCTCTTCCGAAAAAAGCTTATTGTGCAAGAAGCCTGTAGTCTAGACATAGCCTGAGGTTCAGGGAGGAAGGGAGATGGAGTGAGCAGGGTGAGGCCTTGGAAAAGGGGTGGAGCAGGGGTGGGGCTTCAGAGAAGGTGCGGGAAGTAAGTGGGGCAAAGGTATTTGGGTTTGAGGTAGATCTTACGTTGCACTTAAATTGAAAAAGTGATCTCTTGGTTTAAAAGGTTGGAGACCACTTTAGTATAGTAAGAGAATTTTTCTAAAGAGTTTACCATCTAAATAGGCAAGGCAGACAACTTGTGCAAGAGGAAACAGAAGCACAGAGAGGTAAAGTGATTTGCACACGGTCACACAGCAGATCAACTGCAGAGTTGGGTACAGAAGGCAGGTCTCCTAATTCCTCATGCAGTACAGTACACACTGGACCACATCATCCATATCATTTTTCATCTAATGATCTCTAAGTTACTTACAAATGCTAATTAAGCCTTACAATTCTTACAAAGAGTATCCCACCTTGTATTTAGGTGTGGCACAGAGTACATTTCCATGACATGGAAAAGAAATCTGTGTAAACTTGTCTCATCAACTGAAGTTAGTCCAAAAAAAGATATTACCTCACCCACCTTGTCTTTCTCTAGGTGAGTCGTGGAAGTAAGTATTGAGAGGAAGAAAGATTAAATTGTCAAAGGTCACACAGTCTATCTAGGGTAGCTGGGAACAGAACTCAAGCCTTCTGACTCCCAATCTGTTCCTCTAAGCATTGGATACACTCTGGCTGTGTCTACACTGGCATGAATTTCCGGAACTGCTTAAAACGGAATACTATTCCGTTTTCAGTTTTTCCGGAAAAGGAGCGTCTACATTGGCAGGCTGCTTTTCCGGAAAAGCCCTTTTTCCGGAAAAGCGTCTGTGGCCAATGTAGACGCTTTTTTCCGGAAAAGACTACTGGGCTGTCTACACTGGCCCTTTTCCGGAACAGTGTTCCGGAATAAGGACTTATGCCCGAGCGGGAGCAGAAGAGTTTTTCCGGAATAGCGGCTGATTTTGTACAGCAGAGCGTCGTTGCTTTTCCGGAAATTCAAGGGCCAGTGTAGACAGCTCGCAGTTTATTCCGGAAAAGCAGCTGATTTTCCGGAATAAGTGGCCCAGTGTAGACACAGCCTCTGATTTTACAATAATATGAATTTACATTAAT